CAGACTGAGATATTCTGTTGTTTTTCTTGGGATCTGCTGTAGCCTCTGCTGTAGGGATGGGCGTGATTAGTCGATTAATCGATAATTGATCATTAAGAATTTTGTCGATTATGTTCATTTTTAATCAACAAACCGAATGTAGGTTGCTGTGTGTAGCATAGGGTGACCAAACGTCCGTTTTCCATGTCCTGTCCTGGCTGTCCGGGTTTTTTTTTTTTATAAAGTGATCCAAATGTTCATGTTTTCATTTCCTTTCATTGAGCCATTAAACTGAGCGGCTCTAGTAGCTCTCTGCTCAGAAGGAGCGAGACACAAACAGTCGCTCAGTCTGCAACATGCCGAAGTGCAAATGTGTATTTAACAATGACTTGTACAAGAAATTCCCTGCCTTCCGTTCCGGTCGGGACAAGTGTGAGTCCATGTGCACAGTGTACAAAGGAGCACAAATGTTTCAGTGTCAAGTGGGAAAAAGTTCACCAGGACACTGAAAAACATTAAAAAGCTTTGCCAGGTGAGAGTCGCTCAATGTCGATGACGAGGCCCCAATGTCCCACCCCCCGTACGCTGTCCTGGTTTTGACAAACACAAATATGGTCACACTAACCTGTATTCCACTGAGTCATGTCCCTTAGTGTGACAGAATTTGAACCACATCAGCGACACAAGAACAGTTTTTTTCTTTACTTAGTTTATGCAAATGAGTCATGTGGTTTTAAGTTTTGTTTCTGTGAGACTTGAACAAAGCTGCATTAAACATATTCTAATGTCAAACGGGCTGATGTGGCTCTAGAGTGGTTACGGTTTATATGTCGTAAAGTTGAATTTATTTATGCAGATTAGTGTAGATAGTAATAATAATGATCATTTTAATATAAAAACATTAATGATTAATCAATAATCGATCGTCAATTCTCCAAACGATCGATTAAGAAAATTTTATCGAATGCTCATCCCTAGTTTGGGGGTTACAGCCCTGAGTGCTCCGATCACCACGGGCACCACTGATGCTTCACCTTCCAGACCTTCTAAAGCTCCTCCTTGAGCCCCTGGTATTTCTCTAGTTTCTCGTGTTCCTTTTTCCTGATGTTCCATCTCTTGGCTTTGTTCTGTTCTTCTCCACCACTATGTCTGGTTCGTTCATCACCATCCTGTCAGTCTGTATCTGGAAGTCCCACAGGATCTTGGCTCGGTCATTCTCTGCAACCTTTGGAGGTGTTTCCCACCTTGATCCTGGGGTCTCCAGCCCGTACTCTGCACAGATGTTTCTGTACACTATGCCCGCCACTTGGTTATGTCGCTCCATGTTTGCCTTCCCTGCAGCATCTTACACCTGCAGTTCTGTGCTGGACTGTCTCAGGAGCCTCTTTGCACAGTCTACACCGTGGCTCTTGTCTGGTAGATCTGGGCCTTTGTTGCTCAGGTGCTCAGCTCCTGTGCTCCAGGATGAGCCTCTGTGTGTCCTTCAGACCAACCCTCTCAAGCCATTGGTAGGATTTCTTGATATCAGCCACTTCAGTTCTGTTCCAGTGCCAACTTTCAGCCACAGGGAACCCACACAATCCTTACATTGTTAAGGAAAAGGTGACCTCAAATGCAATTTCAACACAATATTTTAACATGAACTTGTATGTAAATAGGAATAAGTCCAATTTTTCTTGTTAAATCCTGCACTCGGCTCAATTTTTCTCATGTTGGACATTTTTCTGATGAGGGTGTCAAGGTCAACAGTCAAAACGATCGTCCTTTAAGAGCGTTTGGAAAGAGACAAGTCTTCATTTGTGCTGCTCTGGTGGGAGGGGCCACACACAGAGACGCTGGAGATGCTGCTGTGATAAAAAACACAGAAAATTACCAATATTTTAATAGAAAATATAATTAAAATATTTTAGTAGAAAATCAGCCGAGGGCCAGATTAAAGGTCTTGGAGGGCTGGATCTGGCCCCTGGGCCGTATGTTTGACACCCCTGTCATAAAAGGTATAGGTACGTGCACATCACTGGTGTAAGGCAACTACAGTGAACACATAAAGTGAGACAAAGCTACATTTATTCCCAAACTGCTTTGAATGAATGACAAAGTTTGGATCAGTGGATCTTGGTCAGGTCATGGTTCTCTGTGTTCTGCTCTCATTTAAAACCTTCTGCCCACTGATTGTTTGGCCAATCCAAAAGTGATACTGGTAGATCAAGACACGCACATCCAACAAAAATTGTGACTGTGTGCTGGACCCAAAGACAAAAATAGTATAAAAAATGAAACATGTCTGAAGGAGGGCTTGGCACGAAACGTCACACTGTGGTGTCACTGAAATAAGAATAAAAAAATTGCTGTCCTGATCCATTTTTGTACAACCCAAAAGTGAGCCACAGGAGATGTCCACACAACACAATATACAACACAACTGTACAGTGCTCATGAACATGAAGAGAGAATGTCTGTGTTTACTTTTTCTGAGATTTTGAGACCACTTCCATTGCTCAAGCTCAATCCTTCGTAGAGTTATGACCAAAAATGCATATTTGACCTTGGTGACCTTGACCGGTTTCAACCTGTAACATCCAGTGTACCCCGGTTAAGTGTGTGCCAACTTGTGTAATGATTGGGTGAATATTTTAGGCCGCAGATGGTTCAGAAATTGCCGATCCTTTATAATGGTGTGACCTTTCAATTGACCCGCGTGACCTCAAATGACCTTGGATCGTCACCCAACTTTTTTTGCGGCATCGGGCACAGGGGCTTGACCCATGTACCAAATTTGGTGACAATCAGTCCATAAATGGTGGAATGAATGGACCAGGTAATAAATCTAACATTATAATATAAATGTTTGATTTCATGTTCTTGATTCAGGCCACTAGGGGCCAGTGTTTTTAAGGAATAAATATTAGAACTTTCTGTTTGTAGGAGCAGTCTGTTAACATCCCCTCCTCTTCTTGGGAGCTTCACCTGCTCTGTCCCAGTAGATGGAGATGGAGCCGTGCTTCTTTAAAATGGCAGCAACAGAAACCCTGTGGGAGCAGCACAGAGAACCACGACCTGACCAAGATCCACTGATCCAACGGCATCTTTCATTAAACGCAGTTTGTGCAGCTTAGTCTCATTTTCTATATTTAATGTCATACCACGGAACATTCCAGGGAAAGTGAGAACATCTCCATGGAGACGAGTAAATAGCAGACCCTTTCCCAGAAAAGTTATGTAGTGCACCTTTAAAGGGCCATATTACACTATTTTCTGATCTCTGTTAAAAAGTTCTCTCAAACAGAAATCACTCTGTTCCACCTTGTGATGTCAAGTGATAATACAGGAAGTGCTCCACTATGTTTTTAAACTTCATACACTCTCCCTGGAATCATTTGGATAATTTCATCTCTGCAACTGATAATCTCTACAGAACTAAAGATAAAATGTACTGTAGCTGTTCACTTGACTACCACTTCATGAAAAAGTGGAACAGAGCATTTTTGAGATTTGGGGACGTAAACAAACTAACTCAAATGTGTGTAAATGAAACAAAACACAACTCCAGGTCTGTTTTTGATGAGGGAACAACATTCTAACATGTCTTAAATCTCACAAGAGTCAAGTTTCCATAATATAAGACCTTTAAGCTAGAACTGTGCTCATTTCCAGCACTTCCTTCCTCTCACCTGTTTTCTATCTCTGGCCCTGGTTTGTGTCATGGGTAAAAATGTGCTCCGTCTGGTGGAACCTGCAGGGCAAACACATCTCTTTGTCCTGGTGTGCTGTTGTCTCTCCCTCGCCCCATTTTCCCCACAACAAAGCCCCACGCAGCCTGCTCCACCCTGCTACACGACGATCCGGTCCGGCCGCCTCCAGGCCTCCTTCACGCCGCCTCCACGCCACCTGGGCCTGAAATAGATTTGGAGGTGAAAGAGCACACAATCACAAGGCCGACTTTATGGAAACGTGTCGTGTTGTGTAATAGTGATTTGGTGAGAGGTGGTTTTCTTATGAATGGCATGTAGGAGTGACGATCAGGACGGACTGCATGCCTCAGAGATGTTACAACACAGATTAGTAGTGTTCTTCTCTTAGTAGGTTATACTTGTTGCTCTGGTCATATTTTTATCCTTCAGCCACTTTCAACATTCTGTATTTTAAAACTGGACTGGAATTTAAACTTTCCTTTGGGATTAATTCAGTATCTATCTATCTTGAAGCTCCTGTTTGTGCCAATGTGCACAAATACATGTAGAAAGATTCTGGTGGAGTTATTCTTTCATTTGGTGGTTACTTTCCTAAAATCTAAGGGATACGTTGTACTCTTACATCACACTATTTCAGTTCAAACTGCACAGAATCAGTGAGAAACATAGAAAGGACTGTTCTTGCACTGTGTGTATGTGTGATTTTTTTCTCTCTCATTTGTGATAGGAAATGCATTACTAAAACAAAGCTGTTTAAATCCTGTGTTGTTTTACACCTCAATTTAAATGCAACTCAGTGGAACCATATTCAGAATACAGCACTCTGACTGGAACATGTATCAGAATACGTTACAAAATACATGTGAATGCAGATATGCAGTATTCTGTAACTAATACTGTAACAACATAGTGAAGATTTTGCCTATGGAAAACTGACTGACTCCCATATCCACTAGACTTCCATCAGAGTTTGTGTGAAAAAGTAAAAGGCAGATATAATCTCAGAGGGATTATGTCCAACTGCAACAAATAATCCCTCTGTGCTCTCCAATGGAGCTGACGTCACCACTGCCATCTGCAGACTGTCCATCTGCAGAGACTGTCCACTGTCCATGTGCAGGAGACACGGCACTGCCTCCACTGCGGCTCCGCTAAACTCATATACGAAACACTGTCGGATCATAAAGTGATGCGGTTGTTGCGATACCTGCGCTGTGACATGTGAGAGGGGTGGGAGAGGACGTTCTGCCGCTTCCTCCTTCTCTCCACCTTGGGGGAGGACCGTCCCGCCCCGTCCGTCCGCCCGCCCGCCGGCTGCTGCTCCTCGGAGTTTAGCTTCCCCCGAGCCACGGTTCATCAGGAGGAATGAAGCCGAACGAGCGATGCCACTGGCGGTCTGGCGTTTGACACGGACACGGCGGAAAACACGGACACTTGGACGTCTACTGAATTTATTATAAGACGTTGGATGATACTGGTTGTTTTATTTTTTTTTCTTGATCGCTGTAAATAATCCGAATAAAGCGCTGAAGGATGAACACCTGGGTGAGAAGCCGGAGGAGCGAGCATAGCCTGGGAGCTGAGCGGGATCACTTTGACAAGCAGCAGGTAAACGGATAAGGATGTCACCGCTTCACTGCTCCGGCGCGGTTCTTTTCGGGTGTTTTGGCCAGCATTGGGCACATGTAGACCTGCCGATGTCGGCCCCGTTGGCCCCGGTCCCACCGCGCACACTACGGTTGAACTTAGTGTCCGGGATGATTAAAAAATGATCCGAATCTGGCAACGCGGTCAGTCCTCGAGCTCACCGCGCACGAGGCGGAGGAGAGGCTCGTGCTCGCGGCGCTGTCAGAAGAGCACTTGCTAGCGGTGGTTCTTTAGCATTTGTGTTAAAAAATATATATAAATAAAGGTAAAAATAGCTTTAAATAACATTACAAGTCCGTGCATTCTACTCGATATGGCGCACATTTTAATTATTTGACACCTATCCATATTACACGTCGTTTCTGTGTTTTTTTTTTTATAAGTTTAGAATAATAGAATGAGCAAAAAAAAAAAAAAAGGCCAGTTTTGTAATCCCAGTACACGAGGGTGTTTTTACATCATTTTAAAAGAAATTATCTTAAAAACTACTAAGTCCAGCTCGATGATGTTGTTGGTACCAGATCTTTTAGCCCTGCATAAGATCCTTCCTCTTTACATTTTTGGTACCAAGTCCAAATTTGTTTTGTTGAAGTTTTTCCAAATGTTGCATTGAAGCTGCACAGTGTTGGGTGAGTGTGTGCAGCAGATTCTAAGACACAAAATGACTTCTGTTTGGGAGTGAACGGCTCAACCTGAAAACAGAACAAAAATAAAGCATTAAATATTAAATCTTGATCTGTTTCTATACATTCTGTGAAAATGTGTGGTTATTTCAACAAGAATTGCCCAAATTATTGGCCTGCGAAATTATGTTGTCATATTTGGGACACCCTGTATAGTGCAGTTGATTTTAGACTATGGGGACCATCACAGTTGGTTGTATTGATGGGAAACATTGCTACCTGTTCACTGCCAGAGAAGTCTTTGTGCTTCTTGTGTGTTAAAGGGCCCAGATGACCCTGTTTTCTGATCTGTGTTTTAACGTTGTTTCCTCACAAACTGACCTGGTGTTGTGTTTTGTCACATTCACACATGTTTAACCCAGTTTCTCAAACAGAAAGCACCCTGCTCCACCTTGTGATGTCATGTGGTAACACAGGAAGTGCCCCACTGTGTTTTTAAACTAGACACACTAGAATCATTTGGATCATTTCAGCCCGGGAATTGTCTATCTCTACTGAACTAAAGATAAAACACATCTGTTAACTGTTAACTTGTTGACGTCATGCAGTGGTAGTTTTCGAGATAACAGCTACCTTTAAAAACACAGTGAAGCACTTCCTGTATTACCACATGACATCACAAGGTGGAACAGTGTTTACAGTTTGAGAGAAGAACTCAGCCAAAGTGTGCAGGGTTTGTGTGTTAACCATGTTTGAATGAAACAAGACATAACTCCCAAGTATGTGAGGAAACAACATTATAGAGATCAGAAAGTAGAGTACCAGTAATATGGGCCCTTTAAAACTATGATGGAGTGGGGAAAGCCAAGCAGGTACAAATGCTACTCGTCTGGATTATCTAGGCTTAGAAGTGTGGCGCTGAAGTAAGCTATATATTCTTAATTTTTAATACATAATTACTGATGACTGTTCAAACAAAAGTCTCAGTGCAGCTCAACAGGTATAGTCATCATATCCAGTGTCTGGGCAGTTTGAAGAAAGTAACAGCCCTCAGGAAAAAAGTACTTGCCTATGAGTATGAGAGAAGACTTTTTTGCTGTAGATTTGCTGTATATTGTCATTTGTTATATATTTTTGTAATACGGATGTCCAATGTCCAACAAAACATTTAAATTTAGTGCAAAGAGCTTTTTAAAATACAAAAACTTCCCTCTAAAACATGAAAACCATTCCAAATACCTACCCCCTGCTCAGAGCTCAGTTACCCCCAAGTCCTGTAACTTTAGTTGGGATATTGTAAGCTGCAAAACTGCCAGATGTTTTGAACAGCTGACATAGCACTTCCATAGTTGTAGTATGTAGTATGTAGTATGTAGTTGCTGATTGTCAGGACAGACAAAAAGACATCAGTAAAAAGCCTTAGCCCAGAGGAACTGATCCTGTCCTCAGTGCGTCCGCTGTCCTCACACGGACATTGACAAGGTTAAACTTCATTTCTCATATTACTTCATGAAGACGCTGAGTAACAGAACAGCACAGGGACAGCTCCTGGTGTCTAAATTAGAATGTGTTTTTTCCGGATTGTTTGCCCTCCTGTAGGTAATATCTTAGACTACTGTGGCAGGAGTATAGTTATATTTTAGACCTTGTTTAGCCATCATTTAGACCTCTAATAGTGCTGGTATAGACCTGGTTTAGATCTGGAGACATTCAAGGGTAACATCTTTTTGAACCACTTCTCCATCTTGCTCTGTATGTAAATGAGACTGTACAGAATTAAACTGCAAGCACTAGACTGAGGTATTTGACATGCTTCTGTTGTTTTCTAGAAGGAAGCGTATTTTAAGCACACGTCCTTTTGGGTGTTGGGTGTTTTGGGCTGGGGGTCAGATACTTGTAAGTGTAGTCAGCCATGTTGGAAGGTTAAAGATGGCTGCTGTATGGAGACATATTTGCAGAGTTGTCACCATGACCAGGCAGTGCCCTGTGGGCCTGTGTCCTGTGCGGCGCTCAGCTCGTTCTTCCTGCTTGACCAGCTTTTCTCTGCTGAGCATTCTTTTGTCTTTGGCACACACACTTTCAGTTTGACTATCATGTCTCTTTCAGTGATTGTCACAGGACAACAAAGATGAACAGCCTGATTGCTACATTCTAGAATCTCTGTCTGCCCCCACAGCTTTATTTCTGACACATAGGGCTGGACGATACGGTGATGAAATCAATTAGTGATTACATTCCTGTTACCATCGGCTATTCTGCTTAAATCTTTGTTTTGTGATTGACTAATACAGCTTGAATGCAGCTCTATGTTCAAATAGACTTTTCCCAGCCCACAGTGTTTTGTATTAGTCTGCATCAGCAATGAGTAATGTGACTGAACCAATCACAGTGAGATGTGAATTTTCAGAAGAAGCACATGATTATAGTTACCTCTTATAGTCAGACATTAAATTGACATGAATCAATGTGATCAAATCGATTGTGGTCCAAGGAAACTGTGATATATATTTTTTGGCATATCACCCATCCCTACCTGCCTACCCCCTCACCCAGTATCCTCATAACAATTCCGATACCCATCAGAACTGGACTTGCTGCATGCTGCTGATGAAATGGACCTCACATTCTTCATTGTCCCTGTAAGAAAACAGAGCCATCCTTTAACACTTCTGGGCTCATCAGTCTCTCTAACCTTCATACATCTCAAAACTGTCTATAAACACAATCTTTATAGTCAAGAAAAGTACAACCTCAATACTATTCTTTTTTAAAATGTTAAAATAAGAGCTAGACCGATTAACATTTTCTCTGGATTGTGAACATTATCAACATTGGCCATGAAAAAACTAAACCAGTCACTTTTTAGACTATTTGAATTTCATTTCTCTTTTAGCAGTGTACTTTCCCAGTCTAATTACATAAGTAAGGAAGCATAGGGAGAGTGCTGCTGATAGGTTGTGAGTATTATTTGTGTAGTGATTCATTCTACGGCAGAGATAAATTGCGTTGTGTTTGTGTAGTTCAGCTGGAGCACACCCCTTGGACGTCATGAACTGTGTTTACATGCGCAGAACACTGTGAGAGTGCAACCAACCACATTCAAATCATCTTTATCCCAAAACCTCAAACCTCTCTTATCCCTGTACGGCAAAGCAAAAAACCAACAGGTGTGAATGGGGGGCTACGAGATGTTCAGGTGCATCTAGTAATTTAGCTGTTATACAAGCACACTTTAGGCATTAATGGATAGAAAGAGACATCTCATTTACATTTAGCATTTGATTTTTGGGCATGTATTCACTTTTTAGTACTGATCTAAAATGAGTGAGTAAACATTTGAACACGTGACTAATATTTTCCTGTCTGTTTCTTACCTCGTGTAGTTGAATGCCTCTCCTAGTCTGTGCCTAATGTATATCCGACTTATGTTACGTGCTTCTCCTGATATGTTGTTGGGATCTTTGAGGTTCGATTCACAACACCTCAGTCATGGGCTTACACGTATTTCGTTACATCAGTTTAAATTGATACTTTGCAGCTGACGTCATCAACATTCACTGGGTGTATGATGATAACTGTAGGCACTGCTCTGTCAGAAGAAGATTTACCGTATTTCCCGGGCTATTAGGCGCTCTGGATTATAAGGCACACTGTTATAGAATGGCCTATTTTCAAACTTTTTTCATGAATAAACCGCACCGGACTATAAAGGAAACCCAACAGTGTGATGGGTGAGTGGTTTTGTTTGTTTGTGGCGTTCACGGTGACTCTGGGCTTTGTTCAGTAGTGGTGTGTAGGGAGGGTGCTGTCTGGGACCAACGGATTGTCGGCGTGTTCGCAGTGACTCAGTTGTTCACATTGCACTCGCTTTTTCGGTTCGTTCCTCCATTCCGTTCCTCGTCAGCGTGGAGTGATGAGTGTGTCTGTGGGTGTGTTTCGCTGTGCGGTCGCTGTCTGCTCCGTGTGTGTTTGCGGGTGGTGCGGCTTTGTACTGTATTTTCCGGGCTATTAAATACGCTCTTAAGCCTCTAACTGTATCAAAAAACGACTGCACGACCCACAATCCAGAGCGCCTTATACACAAATCCACTTGGGTGTCCCAGCACGACTTTAGTAAACTACAAAGCCGCACCACCTGCAGAACACACAAACACACACGGAGCAGACAGCGACCGCACAGCGAAACACACCCACAGTCACACTCATCACTCCACGCCGACGAGGAACGGAACGAAGGAACGAACCGAAAAAGCGAGTGCAATGTGCCACTTCTAGACACAACTGAACAACTGAGTCACTGCGATCACGCTGACAATCCGTTGGTCCCAGACAGCACCC